TCTTGTCAGAGTCTGTGTTCCGGTTCCAGCTCCTGATATTAACACACACTCTGGGGTTTTGTTCTCTTCTTCTCTAATCCGCCCAAATTACTAATTCCATCACAGTGCATCCAGCACGGCCCCCTGGGCAGCTCGGCCTAGAGCTCGGTAACTGGATGCAGGGCACGATTGAGATCCATGGCTTAAAAACAGCTGCCCGGAGCGCTTCAGCGATTTCCCTGCGTTGGGAAAGGCAGAGGAGAACACGGATTTTCTCCTCCATGGCACTCACTGGAGCTGCCAACCCGGGAGACAATGATGACACTCGCCTTTTCCTGCTGGGCAGCCAGCTGGGAGGGTGTGAGCAAGCTCAGACAGCCAGGGCTGAAACTGGGGAGCAAGGAATGGGGACCACAGAGCAGCAAGTCCAGAGAGTGCTGCGGGTCTGGCATTCCTGTGCCTGCAGCTCCTCACTGGCCGCTCAGCTGGAGATGTGGTGGGCAGGGGTCTGGCCTCTCGCTGTCCCCTGGTGTTTCCCAGTTGCCATGGGCCTCGTGGGTGTGCCCTGATCTTTACACTTAAACAGTTCTTGTGCCTCCTTCTCATGGAAGAGAGGCGCAGCCTCCCATTCTGTCTTCAGTTCTTGCTACATGCTCTCACTCTCACAAAACCAGGGCTTCAGTAAACATTTCCATTTCTCTATGCTGGGAGGTGGGAATCCAATTTACAGCTTAATCTTCTGCATGCTGAGAGAGGCTGTCAAAGACCCGGCAGAGGGGGACGCCACTTCAGCGGCAGGGGTTCAAGCTTGCTGCCATCTTTAAAGCTTCCTTCTCTCTAAGTAGGCAGTGCGGGAAACACAAGAGCATGGCCAGGACAGTGGGCTGCTCTGAGCAGTGGAGACCTCCCCTCCTGTGCCCTCGCCTGCTGCTGGGAGTGGGGCTCACACTGCAGTGTGTTTACAGCCCACGTCCTGTTTCAGGCTGAAAGGGGAAGACCCGTCTGAGCTGGTGACCACGGTGGACAAAGTGGTCTGCCTGGAGTCCGCCCGGCCCCGGATGGGCGTTGGCTGCCGCCTCAGCCGCGCCCTGCTCACCGCGGTCACCCACGTGCTCATCTTCTTCTGGTGTAAGTCCTCACGGCTACCATGCTCCCCATCCCTTCCCGCCAGTCAGAGACACTGAAGGAGCCACTTACCCGGTGCACCGGGAGGCTGGCTCATAAAACTGGAGATAACAGACTGGCCTCTGCCCTGGGCTGTCTTTACCCTTGGGGATGGTGGTGGCTCTGTATTATAAGTGGATATGTATGTCCTTGGGTGGGGGAGGAGCCTGTCCGCCTTCCTGAGACTCGTGGGTCCCGTGGAAGTCTTCACTGCTTCCCTTGGCCCAGTCAGGGTCCCAGTGCACAGAGCAGCTCCACTCAGGAGGTGCTGTGGGACCTTGGCCTAATTTTACTCCAGAAAGCTGCAAACATCTGCAGAGATGGATAAAGGTGGGGAGGAGGCAGAGTGCAGGAGGGAGGGAAGGAGAGCCTGGCTCGGCTCCCTCCAGCAGCAGCATCCTAAAGTGTCTCCTGAAAGGAAAAGGCTGGAGCGTGGGGATGGTAGCCTTCAAGATAGCCTGGGACAGATCCTGGCTGTCCTGTGCAGTGCGCCCCCATGCCGAGCTGTCAGGGTCTCAGTGTGCACACACGTGGCTTGTCTGTAGGTCTGCAGCACAGGCTCCAGCCATGAGGGAGAAGATGGTGTGAGGTTGAGATGGGCTGGGATATGACGGTACCTGGGACGCCTGAGGAGGCAGACTGTCCGTGCTCAGTAGGGGATGGTGTCCTTCTGTCGCAGGCCTGGCCTTCCTGTGGGGGCTGCTGATCCTCCTGAAGTACCGATGGCGGAAGCTGGAAGAGGAAGAGCAGGCCATGTATGAGATGGTGAAGAAGATCATAGGTGCGTGTCCCCCAGCGGGAGGTGTCAGACCCACCAGGCCCGTGCTGACTGCTTCCCTCTCTCTGCAGACGTGGTTCAGGACCACTATGTGGACTGGGAACAGGACATGGAGCGCTACCCATATGTGGGCATCCTCCACGTGCGCGACAGCCTCATCCCCCCACAGAGCAGGTGAGTCCTGCTGCTGGGGGCAGCCCGGGTGACCAGTGAGACCCATGGGAGGAGCCCAGACCGTAGCCTCCACAGCCACTGAGGGTCATTTGCCTAGCCTCCTGGGAATGACTGCCTGCCCCCTGCTGCTGGCTTGGCTCTATGGCAGGAGAGCCAGGCAGGAGGCCCAGGCAATCAGCATCCTTTACAGACTGTGCCAGTTTGAGACCCAGTCCCCTCAATGGTGTCAGCTGTGGACGGTCTCTTGTTCTCATGAGTCAGGTCCATGCTCCGTGCCTGGGGCAGCCAGCTCCCTCCTTGTGGATGCTGTCAGCCAGCCGGTACCTAGTCACCGCTAACAGAGAAGTGGACTTCCAGGCACTGTCTCCCAAGCAAGAGAACACCTCCCAGCAGCCTTTGGGACCACTCTTGGCCATGGACCGGCACCAGTTTCACTGAGTCAGTCACTGAGAAAGGGAGCTTTTTAGATTCTGCAACCACAACCCTGAAGTCCTACGCTGGGCGGTGGGGATGGGACATCCAGCAGGGTCCTCCCTGTGTCAGTGCAGACTGGGCTGTTGGCTAGCTGAGTGTCCCCTGCCATGTGTCATGTGATGCTCAGAGGTTACATATTCTCCTGGTTCTCACGTGACCCACAGCTCTGAGAACAGTGGAGGGCCCATGTATGGGTGAGGAAGCCCAGGGTTTGGGAAGTAAGGGGACTTATTCAGACTGCTGTGGTAGCATTCTGTGCAGCTGTCCCCAGGCCCTGTCCCCTGCGCTACCCTTATGTGCAGCCAGGGAATCAGACGAGGAGAGTGTTTGCAGGTCTGGGTTTTTGTTTGTTTTGTTTCATTGAAACAGCCTCATTTTGTAGCCCAGGCAGGCCTTGAACTGACAATCCCTGTGGGGTAGCTTCCTGAGTGCTGGGGTCTCTGTGTCCTGCTCCAGGGTCATTACCAGCTGACGCCGCCATGTCACTAGTAGCAGTTTTCCTGTGAACTGAAGTCTTGGCTGCTCTCCAGCAACGTGCATGCATTTGTCAGCCGCTGGGTTCCATCTCCCTGCGGGCTGCAGGCAGGAGTTCCTGCCCACAGGGGGTCGCTGCTTCTCTGAGCGGGCAGCCTGTGGGTCCTGTGAGTCCTTGGCTCTCCATCTCCCAGGGGAAGCCATTTGCTGCACCCAGACTCCTGCCTCGTTCTGGCCCTGCCGTGAACTGTGTCGCCAGCCTGTGTGAGCCTCCTGCTCTTACAGTGGATTGCACTGCAGACGGCTGCACTGTGTGGCACAGTACTAGGGCCACACTGCTCATCACTCAGTGTGTGCTGTGGAACTGGAGACCCAGAGTCCACACCCTGGTGAAACATTAGAGCAGGAGAAGGAAGCATGGGAAACCATGTGACACGGGGCAGTGGCAGGTCCCCAGGGACAGGAGACAGGTGCTGAGGAGGTGGCCTTGAAGTTCGGCTTGCCAGTCTGAGGCACAGGAGGCAGCACTGGACAGTGCTGTTGGTCCTTTGACTTGCCTGATAGCGACACGTTTCCCCATCGGAACACAAGCCAGAGCTGGCCTGGCACCCTGACTACAGCCGTGTCATGGAGACCTCACGGGCTGGGTACAGCTGTGCAGAGCTGACTTGTAGTGGGCCTGGGCCCACCCCACTAGCTTCTGACCATCTCCTGAGCCCCCAGCTAAGGGCACACTGGGGCCTCAGGGGAGACACAAGACCTGGCAAGGAGCTGATTGAAGCCACTGGCGGGTCAGGCCCTCCTGTCTCCTCAGGACCTGGCCTGCGGTTGGCATCTCCAAGTCCTTTGAGTCTGTAGTGTGTTGGCTGATGAGAGCATTGCAGGACAGGGACAAGTGACGCCATTCTGTGGGTCCCCGTCATGGGTCCCCGTCACCGTTCTGTGGGTCCCCTTCCCAACAAAAAGATTTGAGGAGCATGTGGGGGGCACGTTCCCATCTTCCTCAGTCTACCTCACACCAGCATGTCCTGCTGGGCTATGGGGGCTGCATCTGAGCTAAGCACAGTCCCCACGTGGCCCAGGTACCCAGCACCGCCAGCCCCTTAGCTCCACACACTAAGGCCTGTGGAGCACAGGAGGTGAGGAAATCCCCAGCTCCCCACTTTACCCTACAGCCATGTTGGTGCCTAACCACACGTCCACTTGTGGGTAAGTGCCGTAGGGCTTCGAGGCGTCCTCTCTGTGGGATGGCAGCCGTGGTGGCCGCAGCCCTGGCGGCGGCCTGACTCCCGCTGAGCCCTGCCTTCTCTTTTCAGGCGGCGCATGAAGCGAGTGTGGGACCGTGCTGTGGAATTCCTGGCTTCCAATGAGTCTCGGATCCAGACTGAGTCCCACCGAGTAGCCGGGGAGGACATGCTGGTGTGGAGATGGACTAAGCCTTCCTCTTTCTCTGACTCAGAGCGATAGGACAGGGCCTATTCCAGCCAGCCTGGCCCGGCCACCCAACTGGGGCAAGGACACAGACCTTCGGTGCTCATTCACACCTGCCTTGATCGTCCTCCTGGTCTCAGCTCTGGGACATGTGGGCTTACTTAGGGTAGCCAGGAGACCGGGTGAGCCCCTCATCTACGTCAGTATGACTGACAGCAAGGGGAGAATGGCTTGTTAGAATGCCCTGGATAGAAAGCCGGGCAGTGGTTGGAATCTTGGAGGTCCTGCACACAGCTAGAAGCAGCCAGTTAGGGTGAAGCCCCTCGCTTGGGAGGTGGGTCTGGTGGTGGGCTGGGGCAAAGCTTGGTCTCTGTGCCTTTGCACTGTTTCCAGGGAGCGTAAGGGTGAGGGGAGGAACCCGTCCCAGTCCTGCCTGGGCCTCTGTCCAGAAGGGGAAGATGTTAGAACTTAGGAGCCGCTGTAGGGGATAGGACGGAGGCGGCTGGGATCTGGAAGGCACTGAGGGTCCAGCCGCAGCTGCCTGTGCCTCAGGGCTTCTCACAGGTCAGCAGTGCTGTCTGAGCCAGGGTGGAGCTCGGCCTCTCCCCAGCCTCTTCACCTACTTGAGCAGGCCTCCTGGTGGCTTAGCCAGGAACAGGTAGGATGCAGCATCGTGGCTGCACAGTGCCCTCTGCAGACCACAAGGAGCAGTGTGGGCCATTAGCCCTCTGCTATGGAGGACCTCCTCCAAAAACACCCAATGGGGGCCCCTCATTAGCTGAGGGGTGGCTTTCCAGCGAGCATGGCCTACAGCCACAGGAGGATAGTCCCTGGAGGTGAAGTGCAGCTGCCTCCAGAAGACACGGACGCCCCCTTTTGGACCCATTGCTGTTCTCTGTTTCTTAATAAAACACGGTCTCCATTTAGCATTATGTGTGTTGCCTTGTGTCTGGGTGGTCAGCAGGACCAGAGGCTGAGCCGGTGCCCGTGGCAAGACCCGTTCTTATGACCAAGTTCCAGCCAGAATTCTGACAGCTTTTGTATTGGGGTTGGAACTGTTGGAAAAATAAAATATTTATTGAGATCAGATGTGGTTTTTGTTTGTGGTGCTTCCTGTATCTCCCCAAAGCAGTGGTGTGTAATGAGGGCTGGGGTAGGCCAGGCTGCCTTGGCCTCGGGCTTCAGGTAAGATGCTTAAAGCCACGTGAGCTGCTGGGTAGCTGTGTGGACTCAACACTGTGGGCCGAGAGCTCCAGTCCCATGTTGGCCTGCCTGCAGCCCCGAGTCCCAAGGCTCCCAGGGCTTCTGAGTAGAAGAATCGAGGGAAACCATGTGGAGCTGGTAAAACCCTTAAAGGAGGCATGGTTCCCGTCTCCAGGCCCAGCCATTGGTGGTAGGCTGGTGGGCAGAGTTGGGGGTGCTTCCAGAAAACCATGGAACAAGCTATAGGCATTAACCTGTTTGCAGGGTCCTGAAGGCTAGTGCCCTGAAGGCTAGTGCCCCAGAAACAAGGTAGCCTAGCTATGTACCGTGGTCACAGCCAGTCTTGGCCTCCTTCCTGTCCGCAGCTGGCCCCATCTGTGTGGACGTGAGCTTGTCAGGCCACTGCTGCACACACCTGGTGGGTGAGCTGTAGCAGGGCCCAGTGAACAACTCAGGAAGAAACCAGCCTGTGTGTGTCTCTCTGTCTCTGTGGAAGGTTTTCCCTTAGCACGTTTTGTCCGAAGTGGTGGGAAAACTAACCCATGGCCTTGTGCCTGGGGAAGGAGAGCAGAAGCCAGGGCAACAGGAAGCAACGAAAGTCCCAGAGCCCAGCACTCAGAGCAGCTAGCAGCCTTGGAGAAGTGTTTGCTTTTAAACAGCACTCTGAGGTCAGCATAGGGCCATGGGGTTTGTCAGAGGAGGGGCTGGGGGTATCCCTGTAACAAGCCTGTGACCTAAGAGGACTTTTTGTTGTTGTTGGTTTGGTTTCTCCTCCCCTTTTCTTTCTGAGATAGGCTCTCTAGTAGCCCAGGCTGGCCTTGAGCTTCTTACCTTCTTCCTCCACCTCCCAAGTGCTGAGATGATAGGTGTGCACCGCCATGCTGGGTTTATGCTGCTCTGGGGGTTGGTTGGAGGGCTTTGTGCATACTGGGCCACCAGTCTACCAGCTAAGCCATAGCGCTAGCCCTGGACGGTTCTACCACTCTGTCCAAAATGTTCCCCAACTACCGGCCTGTCTATCCTTAGTGGGAACTCTCCTGGGCTCCGTGTGTGCCACTAAAGCAGTATCAGGAAGGTGAGGGAAACTGTACCCCACAAATCTCAGCGTGGACATGCACCCAGGAGCTCTGAGCCACCTTCCAAGGGGCTCGTCTACTCCCGACGAATGTAAACACAGCCATCCGTCACAGATTTATCATACGACTTGGGTAGCAGCTGTTCTCCTTAATTAATGCACCATTGACTTTGAGCTCAAAAAGTCCCCACGCTGAGGTCCACATGCAGACTCAAATCTGTTATCCTTCCCCTCCCAGACAGAAGGGACAGGAGAGCAGATATGTCATCCAATTATCCCAGAAAGTTCTCCTTGAGACATCGGCAGCTTCTTCAACTGTGTCCCCAGAAAAGGGTCCCTAGGACACACGAGGGATGGCAGAGGCAGACAGCTGGATGGACATGGTGCTACTCTGCACATGTTTGCCCAGATCGGGGAAGCATGGGGCCAGCATCCACAGAACAGCCATGCCCTGCTGTGCCTGGCTGGGGACGCTGAGCAGCCTCTCTGTGCGGTAGCAAGGGGGGATCAGTCTCTCCCCAACACTACCAGGACCCCAACAGCCAACTCCTGCCTGTGGGTCTCTGCAGTCACTACTCACCTGCTCTGTGTCCCCTAGACCCCCTTGGGGTCACTCCCCTCTGTCAAGCCTGCTTCCTCTCACCTTCCCTGTCCAAGGTTACAACTACACCCCATGCTGGGCTTACCCCTCCTTTCTGCTGTAAATCCGCCTTGCCACATATTTTTAATGTATTTAATTGTGTGGGCATTTGTGAATACGGGTACAGATGATGATGAACCGCACAGCTTGGGGACCGGGACTTGAACCCAGGTTCAGTCAGTGCTCTCAACCTCTGAGCCGTCTCTCCAACCCCTGGCTTGCTACAAATTTCACTTAGTGTCATCTGGCCACCACTGCACCAATCTCAGCTTCTCACGGCCATGTGTGTCTTTGATCCTTTCCCCTGAAGTGTGCCCGAGTCTGGTACACTATAAATATTCAGTCAATAAACAAAAACCTCCATCCCAGAAGAAAAGGCCGGGCTCTGAGCCTCTAAGGTCTTAATCCTTCAGCTTCTGTTCAGACTGACTTGATTTTGTTTTCTGTTTTCCTTTCTAACCTGAGAGATTAAGTCCCTTCCTCTTACCTGCTGAGATTCTAGCACTACCATTGCCTGGCGGGGGTACTGTTCCTGCTGTCTGCCTCACCGGAGCGTTGGTCCATCCTGCCATCCGAAGGTGAAAATAGCTACTGCCCCCAAGACTCAGCTGGGTGGTCCGAGATCAGGAGCAGGTATGTCACTGCATTTTAAGGGAAACGTGGGTAGGTCCCACACCTCATAGCATGCATAGCATGAGCAGCCGTCATACATCAGGAGAGCACTGCCCCAGGCCAGGTTGCCCATGCTGGGAAGATGAGCAATCCCAGTCTCCGGTAAGAAGAGAGGTACTGAATGTGCAGAATGACAGACAGAACGGGAGATACTTCACTGGTGACGGCAGCCGGGCTTCTGGGCTGCTTCTGTCTCATAAGGAGACAGGGGAAAATACGGTAATTTTCTTCAATGAAAACAGGCAACAGAATTCCCTTTGCCTCCTTCCCCTGGCAATTAAGCCCTTCTCCGTAAATGAAATGATTTGGTTTTCATGGGGACTAATTTAAGCACACTGGAAGGACCGCTGAACTTTCTGATTGCAAATACTAGCATGTGCAAACAGAGCTGGCATTGGAGCCAGCCTGGCAAGGGAGCCCCGCCCAGGAGCCGGCAGCCTTGGCGATGGGCCTGCTATGCTCCTCTGAGCCCCTTTGTGGGGCTGACTCTCCGCCCTCTGCCAATCCCATCTCCTTATCCCAAGTGGAGGAGGCCGGACGAGCTCCATAGCTGTCTTGGAAGTGCCCATGACACTCAGGGTGCTGGCCACTGAAGACCTTACTCTTGGCCACTCCTCACCTTCTGTGATGGAGGCTCTTCCCTCTGCCTTGAACCTGGGCTCTGAGCTTCCCTGTGACTGCTTTGATCAGTGTGATATGGCCAGAAGGACACTGACTTGTCCCCATCTAAGACCTCAAAACGCTTTGTGTCTTTAGTGAGCTTGGGCCCTATAGAAAGACATCATTGACCTTCTAGGACAGAGATTCGCCGCCTGTCCCAGTGAGCCCAGGTGTCCCAGCGGACACACAGGAGTGTGCCAGTGTGAACAGGTGAGCCAACCCTGAAAGCTGGGCGGGGAATGGAGCCACCTGGAGATGACTCGCTCCATCTTAAGCCCCTCAGGGCCTGTTGTTGTTACAATATTTCAATTTGAAGTAATTGAAGATCACTGGGGATGTAGCCTAGTTGGCAGGTTGGTAGAGCGTATGCCTGAGAACACACAAATCAGAGTCCCAGCCCCACCACCACCACCACGTGACCAGTCGTGGCGCTGCAGGCCTGTCGTTATTCCCTTAGGAGCTCGAGAGAGGAGGGTCAGAAGTTTCAACATCAGCCTTGACTAGCGAAGAGTTTGAGGTCAACCTGGACTGTAAGAGACATTGTTTCAAAAAAAGAAAAGGAAAAAAAAAAGCATTTATCTTGCAAGATGTGGCTAAAATGTTTTCCCAGCAGGAGATGTAAGAAACAGCCACTCCACCGGGCAGTGGTGGCCCACGCCTTTAAGCCCAGCACTTGGGAGGCAGAGGGAGGCAGATTTCTGAGTTTGAGGCCAGCCTGGTCTACAGAGTGAGTTCCAGGACAGCCAGGGCTACACAAAGAAACCCTGTCTTGAAAAACAAACAAAAAAAAAGAAACAGCCACTCCTTCTCCTAAGGTCCCGATGACAAACCATGGCAGGATTCCCCCAAAGTGATGGGTACTCTTGGTTGTCAACTTGACTACATCTGAAACTAACTTTAAACCCCCAAATGGGGCACACGTGTGAGGTATCTTTGCTTAATTTGAAGTGGGAAAGATTCACTTCTAATCCAGGTCTTTGAGGTGGGAAGACACACCTCTAACCTGGGCCGCACCTCCTGCTAGAAGCCTAAGAACACAGAAGAAAGAAGCATTTGCTCTTTGCCTGCTGACTCTCGCCTTGCTAGCGAGTCCATTCTTTCGCCAGCCTTAGAGCCTACTTCTTCGGGATTCCGGCGTATATACTGAAGACTGGCTGAGACATCCAGCCTCATGGACTCAGCAACTACTGGATCCTTGAACCTTCCATTCATAGACAGCCATTGTTGGATTAGCTGGACCACACCCTGTAAGTCATCCTAATAAATCCCTTTATACAGAGAGATTCACCCTATAACTTCTGTTACTCTAGAGGACTGGACTAATAGTGGAACCAATTCTTTTATTTCATGTCCCTGTAGAGCATAGGCAAGGGGTTATTTGCAAGGATGTGGGTGGTCCTACCCCTCAGACTGCACCTGGAAAACCTTCACCCAGCAGGGATGAGGGCTCTCCCATAGCTGCACAGATGGAGCCTCACCCTCTAATCCTCCTTGGCCTGCATCCTCCAGCTCTTCCTATGTGCAGTTAGGGGCACTACTGTATACAACAGGTGATGAGAATGGGCTGGATACTCAGTCTAGGAGCTCTTTACCCACTCCACCATTCCAATGGGGGTGGACGGTGGTCATGGTCAACAAGCCTGACTGGAATATTCCTTTTTGGGAAAGGGACCAGCTAAACTCCCTTGTATGGCCGTTGCTTGGCTCTGAAGATAGTCCCCCACAGAGGTAGTACATAGTCCCCAACTTGCAAGATCCCCATCCACTTACTTACCTTGGTGATTTCTCCAGCGACCACATGAGAGTGTCAGGCCAGAGAGCCCGCCTGGAAATGCAC